TGTACATCAACTAGGCATTTACGTCGAAGTACACCCATATAGAGCTGTTCAAAGGAAGAACGGTTAAGAATGGTGTTTGACCAATATATTTAAGTTTGTGTTTTTTTACTTTCACGCAAAGCTATTCAAGAACCATCTGCACCAGCAATCCCTAATTTAGAAGTGATAGACGATAGGGAAGACAGCTAGTCAACATTACTCACTGCCACCCAAGGCTAAAAGGGCAAGGATGTCTGGTGATGAAAATCAAACCAACGTCCTGCTTATTGCAAGGCAAGCACCCTAACCACCAGGCCTATGTATTTAAGTTCAGAGATACAAAGTACAAATACTAAACTAAAAACAAAGTGTAGTGAGCTAAATCACAGAACTATACTTTGTATTTCCATTTTCCATCGTAAAATGTTTTCACATCTTAATTGTTTGTCTTAGTGATAACCAAACTACCAGAATACATTATGCTTAATAAACACACATATAAAAATATATTCATATCAATGAAAAGAATGCTACATGCCTTGTAAAAATAACTGATTGTACATAAAACAATGATTTTTGATATTGGTTATTCTCACTAAACTAATATTTTCTCTTGAATAAGCATTTAATTTAATCTCTACTTCTCCGTTTTTTTCACAGCAAAAACTTCGATATTAAAGAGAGAACAGAATTTTCTTCATGACACTGAATTTAATGAAAATAACAACCAAACTAAGGGTCAATATTTTACATAACTAACCAATAATAATAATATCCTCCTTTAAGTAATGAACACGCAGTAAAATCTAAAAAATTTGATTTTACTCATAAAAAAGTTTTCAGTAATATAATCCATGATCTTTAAGTAGATTAACACCAAGACTAATTTTCAACTTAAGTATTCTTGGTTTCAACTGAGTGACTGAAAACAAAGATGAGGTAACACAATGCAAGCAGTTTTGTTTTAGTCATCAAATCACTGCATTACAGAAATGCTTAAAAGCTGTAGTTTCCTTTAATTACTGTGGACTGGGAAACTAAATGTATATACAGACATATATATACAAAATAGGTCCTTCCAACAAAATAAGAATGG